TTAAAGACTTTTACAGTATGTCAAGAGTACTGAATGGGTTAAAAAATATTGTTAGTTATAAGAAATAGTTGTTGCTGATGTAGAAACAAGATTACATAAGATGGGTGTTAAAACATCAATTATTTTAAGTGTCTGGTCAAAACTTTTCCTTCTACGTCACTGAAAAATGTATTCTCCTCCCACTTGTTTAAGGAAATCGAGTCCATTAACACGTCTCTGTTTGGCGTCCCACAGGGCTCAATCATGGACGATTTGGACTTTGAGCGGCGCCGGGAGCTGAGGAGGCAGAAGCGGGAGGAGATGCGCCTTGAGGCTGAACGGTGAGACGTGTTCGCTTGACTTTAATTCACACGTTCAGATTGCTTCCAAGGCTTTTCTCTCTCAAAGGACAACATGTTTAGACGCCAAGCACTCCTTTGAAGAAATGCATATCGCCTGCCACCTTTGGTGCTGGAGTTTTAAGTTTAAGATTTTTCTAATCCTGAGATTACCCTTACATCAAACTCGGCATGGAACATTAAATGACTCCTTAGTTTATCTCCACTATACTGAACTTTTTTTTACTCGGGGAAACACCTTTTTTATTTGGAGCAACTGGCCTTGGTCTTCATGAACACCCGCTTGTGTTTATTAAAACTAATTACCTGAGTAAAACATTGACGCGGTCGACAAAGTTTAAACATTTATCCGTTTGTTTTTCCCGACCGATGATGTAACCGACTCTAATAAAAGGCTTCTAAGCAGAACGTGACCTTGTCCGGTTATCTGCATCCACATCGTAGGAGTGAGGAGGCTTTTGTGCATCAACACTAACGTTCTCGCATTAAAAAATCCCTTTTGACTTTTTTTGATTAGTCCACTTGGCGAGGTTACCGCTAAATCAATTTGCAGAAAAGATCTCAAGTTTAATCAGTTTCTTCCACTGAATCAAAGAGGGTTCAGAAGGCCTCAGTATCAGGGAAAGAAAATTGGAACCAGGGAGTCGGGGCATGATTGAACACTAAAGGTCATCACGTGGCGTATCAGATTTCTTATCGAGCCTTTTTTTCTCCTCTTTACGCCCGTTCTGAGGAAGCCAGTACTTACTGAGTGATGTTTTTTAAAAGACCCTTCCTCCTCCCAGCTTGGCATGAGCATCCGAGGCTGCATGCTCAGCATTAACAACCAGAGCGACGTCTTTAAATGTCAGCATGGCTCTATGGCGTCCTGAAATATCTCAGGAACCACTGAGCGTATTTTATGGATGTACATGTACAACTGATTTATTTCTGAAGCCAACCTAATTTAAAATGGCTGCCTTACAAAACACGAAGCTTTGGTTTTATATTTAGATGAGTCATCCATAACATAATGTAAGCTCTAACGATACACCTTACTTCACGGGACGGAGCATAACCCTCTGTTTTTATTGGGCAAAATGGCTATAACTCCCACCTCCCCCCGACCTGTTGTGATGTATTAATTAGCCCTGTACGAGTAAAGGACCAAACACGAGTCATGATAAGTATAAATGTTAAAAAATTCAAGGAAACCAAATAATTGCTAACAAATTGGAAGAGAAATCAGTTTCACAAAGGTCACTTGCCTTGGTAGGGTGCTCATCTCTTTGGTGATTTTTGTTGACGGGATGGCGACGAAGCCGTGTTGCGCTCTACTTTAGTGCCGTCAGTTTCCAATGTGGGGGAAGTGCATGAGAGAAATGGAACACTAAGTCTTTAGCTTTTTAGCTAGCAAGTCTGTATTGCACGCCGCTAGCTTAACACTAGCTTAGTGCTACGTCAGTTCTGGTAGTTGTTAACTGAAGGGGAAACACTGGAAATTTGGCGTAAAGTGCCCACTTCTAATTAGTTGTGTAACAGTGCAGTAGTTGTAGCATCACGGTTTGCTTTGTATGAAAACTAGTTAATAAGAGAATCTGGAAAAACAAAAACGAGCAAATGACTTGAAGTAAATGGTTTCATGTTCGACCATGAAAACTTTTTACTGCTAAGTAGGGCTGGGCCGTATCATATCATTCACGATAATACTGGTAAAAAAAAAAAATGCTTGCCTGGGAAAATAAAATATGATATGCTAATTTTGTGACGTAAATGCGTCTGTGTTCCCCCTACAGTGAGGCACCCCGTTAACAGAACGGAGCACGACAAACTACCGAACCGAACTGTGCAGCGCACCCCCTCCACCTGTCTGTACTGGTGTGACACTAATTAACTGCACGCAATACTAGCTAGCTAAAAAGATACAAACAAACACGCGCAGCTCAGCTGTGACTCTTGAGTTCCACAGTCCATGGACCAAGAACATAGTCAGGTGATCAAAGACAGAGCATCAGAGAAATGAATCATTCCTGCAGGAACAGAGGAAGCTGAAACACCACACGCTTCAGGGTCAGCTGAATTTAATTCAAATCGAAGTTTATTTATAGGCCCACACATTTAAAAACAACCACAGCTGACCAAAGTGCTTCACAAGAATTACATTGTAGCTAAAAACATGATAAAATAAATAAAATTGAGTTTAATAAAAATAAAATTGTAATAAAATTTACAGTAAAATACCAATAAAATACTCGTATAGCTCATTTAAAGGCAACATATATTTTGTTGTAGGTTACATTTATGCTCAACAAATCTTAAGCTTTAATTTTATTTAGTTATTTTGGGAAACTGCACCTGCACTTTAGTTTTTGTGGTGGATTTTGTTGATCCATATTTTGTGCAAACTTTTTCCATCTAAATAACAGAAGGATCATTTTTATTTTTTAATTTTTTTTTATACTTTGAGACTGAATACTTTATTAAAGTAATTGCAGTAAAATTTGCAGTAAATTAATTGGTTTTTTTTTTAGTTTTTATATATTACTGCAAAGCAACATGTTAAGTTTGTCAAATGAATATCTATAATTTCTGGGGGTTTTTTTTTTTTGTTATATCACAAAATTTATCGTTATCGTCAGAATACTCTGAAATATCACGATATTATATTTGAACCATATCGCTCACCTCTACTGCTAAGCAAATTTTATTTCTTACCTCTTCATTTCCTCACTGTAAGTAAAGCTTTGCAGCGTTTGAGGACATACACTGTCAGTTCCTTGAATTATTTATACATCTTATTGTTTAGGTAATGTTGAGAAGATTGAATTTATCCGATCTTAAAGGCGATAAAGAAGTAAGAACAAAAATTAAAGTTTTAAGTTCATGCACGACTGTTTGTTTTAAGCAGTCGTGATTTCATTTGGCAGACGACACGATTCTCCTGTTATAGGTTTAAAAAAATGACATCTACGTATTACGTTAAAGCCATATCTACACGCCTCCGAGTCCAAATCTCATGTCCGCTTGGTTTTAATGTAACCGAACGAGCTGAGAGAGGCGCGCGGGATGCGAGGCCGTATAAAAACAGCTGTAGGAATGTTAAATTCCTGCCTATTACAAGTGTTTACTGGCCGAGTCTCCATGAGCGGTTTCCTCCATGCTGGGACACCACTAGTGTGTGTGTTTGTGATTCTGTGTGTGATTACTTTATTACGTCTCATGTGGTGTGTCTAATAATGTGGAAACTGGGTGTTTGTGTGGTATACGTGAGCATTTGTGCCCGAAGTAAGGGGTTAGTGCTCGAAGTTTCCTTCAGTTGCTGTTTCAGATCAGAACTCCAAGCATTCCTTAAAGGAATGCATATCACCCGCCACTTTTCAGCCCTAGGTGCAGTTCTATTAAAAATTACGCTGAGCCGCGAGTGCCCGGAGGACTTTGATTTTAGTTTAAGCTGCGTTCAATAAAGCCACAAAAGCTTTCTCACACTCTCGTGATCTTTTCAATTCCCAAATCAATGGTGCTCATCAGCGCTGCAATTTGTTTTTCTTCGCTGAAACATGGTCAGACAAGAATGTTTAGAGAGCAAGAAAGGGCAGAAACTTTTTGTTTCCGTCACCTCAGCAATCAGTTCTGGCTAAATGGCTATATTGTGACCGTCACACTGCATATACGTTTTAAAAATAGTTGTAATTCTTAAAGTTGTGCACTTATAATTAAGTTTATAATCCTGATTTTGGCCCCTCGTAAACCATTACACCGTTACAGGAACAGTTTGGATTTTTCTTTGGTTTTATCAGTAGCAGTCAAATGATGCTAGTACTTCTTTCAGGAATGCATATGACCCGATGCATTGCACACCATATTTTTACATAAAGATCTTTTGAAATCTCTTCAAGAATATGTGATGGGAAACATTCTCGGCTACATCCGCACAAATTTTCAGCTTGATATTTTGAAATTTGGCTGTTTTATCACTTTTTTTTTCTTTTTTTTTATTAAGGTCTATTAGCTTTTGCAGTCGTTTGATGGCATGGCATCCAGCTATTATTTTTCTGAATTCAAATTTGTTCACTGATTCACAATATATTTGCCTAATAGACTGGCTATACTCTTAACAGTCTTTTTTTTTTTTTTTTACATCAGTCACAGAACACAAAGTATTTAAGAAAAAAATACACACGTTATCCTTGTGGCTAGGCTAATGGTTAGCATAACAAGAGCTCTCTTGTTTTGATTTTTGCGCCTAAAAAATTTTACTTAAAGATGTCATACCAGTATGAAAGAACGCTACATTTGCTAAAATTATACCTCTACATGTGTTGAACACAGACATGTAAATGTTGGTGTTCTGATGCTGATGAATCTGTCAGTCTAGCAGGCGGCTAAATGAAAAGCTAAATGTAGTAAAAGTCCAGCTAAATGTTAAGTGTAGCTAACGGCTAGCTAAAAGTTAAATGTCATATAGGCATGCTAAGAACTAAAAGTTGCAAAAGACTAGCTAGAAGTTAAATTTAGCCAACTACTAACTAAAAGTTGAATTTAGCCAAAGACTAGCTAAAAGTTAAATTTAGCTTTAAAAAACTAGCTAAAAGTTAAATTTAGCTAAAGGCTAGCTGACTGTTAAATTTAGCCAAAGGCTAGAGATTAGCTAAAAGTTAAATTCAGCAAAATGCCAACTAAAAGTTAAATGTAGTATAGGCATGCCAAGAACACAAGTAGCAAAAGACTAGCGAAAAGTTAAATTTATCAAAAGACTAGTTACAATTTAAATTTAGCCAGTCTAGTTAAAAGTTAAATTTTGCTAAAAATCTAGCTAAAAGTTAAATTTGGCCAAAAGCTAGCTAAAAATTAAATTTGGCAAAAGGCTATCAGATTAGCTGAAAGTCAGATTTAGCCAAAAGCTAGCTAAAAGTTAAATTCAACTTCTAGCTAAAAGTTACATTTAGCCAAAAGCTAGCTAAATGTTAAACTCATAAAAGTAGTCAAAAGTTATATCTGTTCCT